CCAAGTCAGATGCCGCTAGAACTGGCTCGACTTTTACAAGAGGGAGTTTATATCTTCCCCCTCCTAGTTGATCATCACGAGCAGCACCGGTCAGTAATTTCATAAGTCGCGGTGGTAAGCCGGTTGTGGCACTGCTAGGGGCCAGATTTGCTTCGTTATCAGTTAGTTTGTCGCAACGATTAGCTTGATAACACGCGACAGGTATAACAACGATTATTCTCGGATGATTCTGGCATCACGCACGCGAGAAGAGGCTTCCGCATTCGCCCGTGGACAAGGATGTATACCGTGTCAAAGGGACCTAGCAAGATCGTAGCAAAAACACGACGAGGTACTAAATTTGGATTTTCTCGACGCCGCTCGTCCACGTTCGAAGCGATCCGACTTTTCAATCCGGACTGAATCACACGATTCTCCCGCAGGGATCAGTCAGAATCTCGAGAGACTGGAGACCCTACGTGATTTGACGAGGAAGGCCGATCCCGAGGACAACCACGAGATCATCCGGTGAGAGAGAGAGAAAGAAAGAGAGAGGTGTCTTGACTCCTTAATGCTGTTTTTCCACGTTCACCTCCCTCGCCCCTCGCGGTGTCCGATGCATTACGCAATTCATAACTCGCCCCGTAGAAATCGCCGGAATTATTGAGTAACACAAATTGTTTACTCGACATCGACGCGTGTTATTGAGATTTTTAATGAAGCTTATCTCATACAGCACAATACAGAAGCTTATTGAAATCAATTTTGTTTGCTGAAACATCTCGCTTCTTAACATTTTATTGCACGTTGCGTAAGACTGTGTACGCATAAAAATGTGCGATAAATAAAAAAAAAAAAACTAATTTGCCTCAGTACTACCTGTAATATATTGTTTTTATTCCTATGTTTCACGCTTACAGTCATGTACCAAAGCCGGTTTTTTATACCAATGGGAAATCAAAGTTCACCTCACAGCGACATCAGATGCAAGAAGTCATCACACCGCAGCACGAGGAACTTATCAAATTTATTTATGAATGTAGGTAAAAGTATTTTACAAAGTGAGAGTATAGAGAGAGTATAGAGAGGTGTACGAAATGTGAAAGAAGACAAATGCACAACTATTGTTAATTTTGTCAAGTATGATAGAAGTTGAATGTGTGTAATATGAGAAGATACGTTCTTATTATATACTATTACATACCATGTGCTTGTACATTTTTCTTCCAATATTGAGTCGATTCTATTATTTTTAACAGCATGGAATCAGGTTAATACGCGGCAAAGAAATGAATGTTGTGATGGCACAGAATGTACAGAACTTAGCAGTAAGTAGTGGCATTACAAGCCAAAATTGAATTGAAACTATTTATTACCGTTATCATTTGTTTTTTTTACTCATACATATATTTATCATATATTAATAACTGCAATACATATTAAGTTGAATTTTTTTTCTTAATGTATTCATAAACAACATTAGCTAGGAGGTAATTCTTACGTGTGTAAAAAGTAAAGTAAAAAGAAATTTTTACATTGAATAATTTTTTTCAGTTGATTGCATAATTTTTGAATAAGTTGCGTAATTGTGAATAAGAAATAATTTTGAATGTTGAAATAATGTGGTTTTCTTGACCATTTATACACAGTATGTTTAAAAAATGATTTTTTTTTCCATGTAATTTTGTGCACGGTTGACCATTGATCCAATGCTGTATTGTTTCCAAATAAATATACTTTGGATAAAATTAATGATTTTTACACATATATGATTAATATTTGAAATAGTGTCAATTCCGTTATTTTTCAGACATACTGTACATCTGTTATGTAATCTTAGAATTTGTTAATATAATTATGTACTTTTTATGCAGAGTATCTTGAAACAGTAATCGCAACCTAATATTTCTGCCTCTAGCAGTTTATAGTGACAATGCTTTTACAAAAACTAAATGTTGTGAAAGAATGTTTTTCAGTCAACACAATATTGTGGTCAAGTAGATGCACGTTATTTTTATTTTTAAAGCTTTTTTTTGGAAACAAAATCGATGAAAAAAATGTATTCTATACCTTTTTCTTTTTCATAAGGAATTACCTCGCTGGTATTATGATTTATTGAACATCCTCTACATAGATATTAAATTTACTAAAGAAAGCATAAAAGATAAGATTTTATGTTTTATTTGCTACAGATCCTAATTCTATAGTATATTACAATGATGGTGAACCAAATGATGGTCTTCAAGGTAAATAATATTATATAACTATATTTTATTAACATCACATTGATTGCTTTATTGAAGAAATTAATATTTTAATTTGATTCGTATTTTTTTATGTAATTTATTGTAATTAATATAATTAATGCAAAATTAATGTTGCTAAAGTACAAACAAATTGTTTCAGATTTTAAACCGTTTGATTTGGAATCTTGGTGGGGCAAACGATTGTTTAACAACATCACAAAATCGCTCTGAAACATAGAAAAGGCTAAAATTATTTTTCACCGAGGATGTACTTGGAAATAATGCAATAGCAATTGGTGCTATGAAAATTAGGCAGTGTCATGTTTTAAACATTATTCAAGTTTGATCAAGTTTGAGAGTTGACAACATAGTGTTGAGTATCTAGCTCAGACATGAGTTTGATACATATATATATCAAGTTTTGTTAACTTACCAGCTAAAAAATATCGCTCGAATCGTACGTAATGCGCTTACTATGATTATGCAGACTTGTTGAAAGCAATAAATCAGTATATTTAATGCAAATTTCGAATGCACACACGTACGCGACAGCAAGAAATATGTTAGTAGTTCAAGTTATTTACTGTTATAACAATTGTTTAGATGCATTTGTTAACAATCTTTTTACAAAATATAGAAACTTTATTGTTGCTCCATTGTTAGGATTGCTCAATTTTAATAGCGCATAGAGTGTTTGGTACTCTGATATAGAGCTTTGACAAATAGTAACAGTGTCGCGGAAATTTAGTAGACAATAAGTAGAATAACACAAGACACATAAAAGCAAAGCCCATTATTAGAAAGAGCTATAGTAGTCCCCGAATATAAATGCGTTGTTTGTGATCAGTTGATGATTTGCAACAGTCACAAACTTGTTTATCTTTGAGAAGATATAATTTTTTCGATTATAAATTAAGATAATACATGATTATCTCGCAGAGCAAGCGCGATAAAGCATTAAAGAAGTTATCAATAAGATTACAGAGCTCACCTGCCGGGCTCGAACACCGAAAGATGAAAAATTTTTTTCATTCTTAAGCCTCAAGAAAGTTTAATTTATATTCGGAGACTATTAAATTTTGATTAGCTTTTAAATAAATGCACACTGAATCCGATGGTGTGATCCAGTATATACCAATGCGTATACCAAATAGGGCTAAGTACGAGCGAAGTCCCTGTGTGGTATGATGAATCCTGCGTGAGATTGTTGAATTTTTAATCCCTGAATGTTGTATATATCTATTGCATGCAATGATTGCGTGAATGCATGATCTAATGTTACGGATACATTGTTACACGGTATGTTGTTGCAACGATAGTGTCTGAGTATACTTTTATGTGAACAAGGACTTAGTATAAATTCGTAGACTGATAATACATAAGAAAATTATCGTATATTGTTACTCGTCGAGTTGCAGCCCGCAACCGATGAGCTGATGCGAACTGTTATTGAGTTTGCTTGTCGAAAAATTATATCATGGCAGGTTATAAATTGTTTCCTCTTCGCGTTGTTACGTATTTGTCAAGATACCATGAAAAGAGATCGGTCTCTCCAACAAACAACAATTTAAACGCCACAATATGCGTCCGACAAAGTACGGTACGCAAGAGTAGTCGTAATGTAGTGCAGTAAAATTCGGTCAGGCGCGACTGAATTAATACGATGAATAAATACCTCTTTCTACATAATCTACTTTCTCACTTAATATTTATTTATGAGAGCTCCTCATTAAAGCGTTAAATGTTAATAACCATTTGATAGAATCTAATCGTTAAAAAAAAAAAAAATAGAACCGTACCTTTATCTCCTTTTCTTAACATTTTTCTTTAGTAAGATTGTTTGCAAAAATGATAATATAAGAAAGAAATATCAAAATTGCAATTGTAAAGAAACAGAGCTTGTTTACTATTTGTAAACTGCTGGATCATCTTGACATATATGTCCAGCACCCCTGTCGATTGACAACCCGACATATAATTGTGTAAATTTAGTTATGTCGTATATGTGTATGCATATATGTACATACATGTGCATGCTATATATATTCACTATGTGAGCCAATGTCCAGATTAGCTATCATAATGTCACGTGTCTCTACCCCGACTTCATTTTTGTTTTATCACGTGAAAAGGATGAAAAAAATTAACTTTGTCGCGAAGTTCTGCTGAACAATCTATAAGCAAGCAGGTAAATGATGGAATTATATGTCGTAAAAATATCCTAGCAAAGGTTATGTTATAAATTATTTTAATCTTTTGTGAATCGTATGATTTATTATAATTTTATGTGTCATACACTACAATTTTTTTATATCAAATTATATTTATGTAAATTACATCTTGTGAATCCCAGGTAGTGTATCTAAAAAATAGAGAAACTCTATCAAGTTATATATTTTGCAAAACAGAGCAATTATAAAGTTATATATTTCGTAAAATATGTCATGACATTGCCATAATAAATATATAACAGCCTATTTATATTATTATACATATGCAGATAAAATAATTAGATATGTATTTCCAAAAGATATATATTTATGCTATTCATCATATAAGCAGCATAGAAGATTATGCAAATGATCACAATACCTAATTCTCAGAAATATATTAAAAAAGACTCACATAGAAAAATTCGTCTTTCAGAAGCAATGAATGCTGTAATTGCGCTGTGTACCTTCTGTGAAATGCATGGACCCAAAGTGATATTTACCACACAAACGTATCGTAACTATGATACAGAGAATATAGAAAAACTGAAATTCTATGGACCTAAAGAAATATTGAGACAAGATCACACTTTATTGGAGGATGAACAGGATGAATGTGAAGGCTGTCAAAGTATCGGAAATGTTAAATATCTGAGTAACGAGCATGAAACAAGGACATCTTTTCTTTCTTCTCAACAATCTTTAATGCAGGATATTGGAAACTTGTTAAAGCATGCTTGCATTAGGTACAATAAATGTATTTTATTTGATTACAAATTTAAAATTTATTTTATAAAAGTTATATAAATCATGAATTTATTATATGATTTATAGTTTCTTAAAGTTTTTTTATTACTGTCACTTTTTTTCAAGGAGTCTGAGCTGCGAGGTGCATCCTGGTAAGGAAGGTGTTTGCTACTTTGGAGATGTGTACAGGGGGCATGTTTTAAGTCATACTTTTACATTGAAAGATGCCCAGGTGAATTATGCAACGAAAAAGCATGTTTGGTAGTTATTACAACAAATTTTTCAAATCATGTTGCTAATTAAGTCGTTAGAACTTAAAGAATTTTGTCACAATTTTATTCAACTCTTCTCAAGTTAATATATTTGTAAAATGGTATATTTATTTTTTCCTAGGCAAGAGGATTCAGAAGATGGTGCAGTTTTATTGTTTTTATGAGAGACAAGCAATTCTTATTGAATATGTGGCCTTTTTTAATTGATAATTTAAAGGAAGTAATTAGAGAGTTGCAAGATTTTGCGGAGAAAAAGTATAATGTGGAAGAAGCGGCATGTCCACAAAGAGCAATGAGGTTGACAGCGGTAAATAGTGGAGCTGGCTGTCATGGTATTTCAATCAAACAGTCCAGAACCTTTACTGATATAACAAATGAAAAGCATGTTTTTGTAAGGTAAGGGCATATTAATCTTGCTGTACATAAATTTTTCAATAAAAAAAAAAAAACATTCCATTATGAATTACAGTTATATTTTAATCATTTTTTGTGTGCATACTTGTTTCAGAATTCACATGTGGTTAGTATGGATCCTCAGTGCTGGTGCGAGGCATTTCATAGAAATTTTTCCAATGAGTTTTTTAAATGACGAACTTAATTACAATTTTGAACATCAAATTGGTTAGTAATTCTAAACATTTTCCTGTCCTTATAATAATAGTTAATGTATTAAAATATATTTTTTACCTAATGAAAGTTATAATATTAAAATTTGCAGAAACTGAAGAAGGCTTTACTTTAGTGAACGCAAAATTGCCGGTAAACTTAAATTTCAATTCAAACAATTCCGAACTTTCGCCAGAATTTTCTGAAGTCGCAGAAAAATCTATTCCTATAATTCTACGAGATCTAAAACAAGTATTAGGAAAGGATCAATTTAGACAACTGCTGTACTCCTGTCTAACTGGTGTTCAAGTTTTAGTGAGAGGCCCGAAAATTCAAAGATTGCAATCTTTGTATGGACTAAGTAGTCTTGTGCCAACAGCGTGTCGAAGAGTAAAAGTGCAAACATCGGAGTATATAGATCCCGACGCATGTAACTTTATCGGTATTGCATTATTCTAAAAATTTATTGTGAACAATTGTTACTTACAAATTATTTTATTGCAATTTGACATTAAAATTTTCAGGAGTGGATACCTCAGTAGCAGTTCCCGTACCCTGTGCAAATGTATGCAGGTTAGATATAATACTCAATGAACACAAGATTGAAAATGCAAAATCCCACATAGTCAAATGGGCTGGTGCACTACCAGCAAAACTTCCGACCTTATTGATGAAGATTGAAAAGTCACTCAATAATGAAAAATTTGGAAACACTGCTCTTAAAGCACATTTTGCAACTCTTCAAGAAGAATGGGCAAAGTACGAATTCATTTATTATTATATGTATCCTATTATGTGAATCCTTAAACTTGTCTAAATATATATGATATATTTATATTTTTTAAGCTTTTAAAATATAAAAAAAGACACAATAATATAATTTTATTGTATATTATAATATACATTTTTTTATATACTATTGCAGTATCGCAAAAGTTGTTCACGCCATGCGTGGACGAGGTCATCGCGGTGATCTTTCTGGACTCATGCTCAGTCTGGGGGCTGGACCACAGGACAAAAAGCTGCTGGACGCGTGGTCTATGGGATTACCGTCTAATCCAGCATAGTTTGCAAGAATCTTATTATACACGTGTAGTATACCGTTGGGCAATGTAATATTTATTGCAGTTTACGTACATTTTTTTTTAGTTGTGCGTTCTTTTAGATTTCTTTTTGATTTTAATTGTTTTGGCCGTGAGGAATATTACCGTGTGTTCAAGGTTGTGTGCCTTTTTTTATTTATGATTTAGTTAAAAAATAAAAGTAAGAAATATAAAGTATCATATACAGTGAACTCATTTATTAAGACTACATTTCAGTATTCACTGTCAGCACTGAAAATTTGTAGTTTATGTTATGTACATTATAGATTTTCAATAATAATGCCAGTGAATTTTGGAACACAGCCTAAACATAAAAGTTGTTAATGAACAATAGCATAGTATGATTATAATTCTTATGAATAACTGTGCAAATATTAGATGGCGATTTAAAAATATGTTTGAATTATATGTATATTTTAAATTTATTTACAACATTATGAAGGATATATATTTGCAAGTAGTATCAAACAAAAATGTGTAATGTCCATAATTGTAAGTATATTTTTGATATTTAATTTATGTGATGGATATTTACACATGTACCGACGTAAGATACATTATTATATTTTTAATAGAGGGCAGTATGAACACAATCCCGACGCCATTTGTGACTTGATTTGTAACTTCATACTAACAGAAGAAACGGCATATAATTTCGGAACTAAATGTGCATTTAGGGCCATTCTACAATGCGTAGTAAATGTCTTGTCTTACTAGAAATAACCAAAAACAGCAGTTTTCAATTAGTAGTTACCATCCTTTGCGGCTGACGACGGGGCATTTGTGACGCATTGTAAAATGGCCCTTACAAAATGTTGTGGCACACCGTTTGTGTGACACGTAGTCTTCCTCCTCCATTCTCCCTGTCCCCATTGGTATATAAATTCTTGTACACTATCGGCGAGAGCCGCAGTAACTGGTAGCAACTGGCAGTAACGGTATCGAGTGAGCTGAAAGTGGCACAGATAAACACGAATTTCAATCATGAATGTCATTACTTGTATTGCACCGGTCAATATTGCAGTCATAAAATATTGTATGTATAGTCACAATTATACCTATTTTTTATATTCAGTCTATAAATAATTAATAGGCAATAATTTAATTTTTTGTAAAACAGGATTTATATTCTGTATTACATGTATTTGTCGTTATATTTTTTAAAATCTTAATTATCGTAAACGTACTAAGAAAATGTCATACATAAAATTGCAAATTTTTATTATCTATAAGTTTTCTACTTGTAGAATCAATATATTATTCAGAAAATATTGTCGATATTTGGAGTTTTTACCGAAAGCAACATCTGTTTTTTAACAACGCATTACACATGCGCATAATTTACTTGAATATATTACTAAATATAAAATATACAACCGTTTTAAACTTTTTATATGTATTCACGTTTTCAAACGTATCGATATATCGCGCAGCGCTTAAGTAATACGTGTCGTACGACCATTTGAATTTGAATAGTTATCGGAACCGCGATGCCATGACAATATCGTTCTTTATGCAAACATTCTTTACGTTTATATTATTTTTCAAAGTAAAAAAATGCTTTAAATCCGTATAATTTTAGGGGGAAAAAGAGATGAATCCTTAATTTTACCAACCAATGATTCCATAAGTGCGACTTTAGATACTGATCAAGTGAGCAATTAAAAATTCTCAACAGACTGAAGTATTGAAATTATCTTAGTAAAATATTTATGATTTTCTGATTTTATTTCTTTTACAGCTGCATGCAAAAACTACTGTCATGATCAGCCAAGATTTTAAAGAAGATTGTATTTGGTTGAATGGAAGGTATATAAAAAAAATATAATGTTTATTGTTATACTATATTTCTTGTTTTATTCATATTGCATTAAACTAACATATTTTTTAGAGAAGAAGATATAAAAAATCCAAGACTTCAAAATTGTTTGAAAGAAAGTAAGTATGCATGAAAATTTACCAAACATGTGTGCTACAAATTAAATTATTTTTTATTCTACTTTTTAAGTTAGAAAACGTTCGCAATTATCTGGTAACATGAACGACTGGAAGATTCACATTTGTTCGAAGAATAATTTTCCGACTGCTGCTGGTTTAGCTTCCAGTGCTGCAGGATATGCATGTCTTGCAGCCGCACTAGCCAAACTTTACAGAATAGAGGTATAATATATATAATTTGTATATTTTTTTAATTGATATATTGTAAAGTTGTATTACATTATCAAAATAATCATTTTTTAGGGGGATATCAGTGTTATAGCACGTTCCGGTTCTGGGTCAGCATGTCGCAGTGTCATGGGTGGTTTTGTGAGATGGTATATGGGTTTCGATAAGTATGGAACAGATAGTTTGGCGAAACAAATCGTGCCTGCTTCTCACTGGCCAGAAATGAGAATCCTAGTGCTAGTTGTAAGAAAAGAAATTTTTTACAAAATATTCTTAATTATTATTCTTAATAATTCTACGTGCTGAAAGTAACAAAAATGCTTATTCTACCAACATTGCTAGTATTTTGCTTACTGCGTTCAAAATTATAGGTAAGTGATGAGCAGAAAAAAGTTCCAAGTGCGATTGGTATGAAACGAAGTCTAGAAACATCTGAACTGCTGCAGCACAGGATAATGCATACAGTTCCAGAAAGAGCTAATAAAATACAACAAGCAATTGTCGAGAAGAATTTCAAGACTTTTGCCGAACTCACTATGAAGGATTCTAATGAGATGCACGCTACATGCTTAGATACATATCCTCCATGTGTTTATATGAACGATATTTCTAACAGTATTGTAAATCTTATACATTCCTACAATGATGCAGTTAATGATGTGAAGGTACAAAATATTTTGAACGTTTTTATCATAATTTATTTGTATTCTTCTAACGATTATAGCGCAATGGGTTTGTCTTTTTTTTAGTTGTAAGAAAATAATCTTTTTAGGTTGCTTATACTTTTGATGCTGGATCAAATGCTACATTATATTTATTAGAAAAAGATGTATCAGCAGTAGTAGGTGTTCTCGATTACTTTTTTCCTCCTCTTGAAAATGCTGAAAATCTTGAATACAAAAGAGGATTACCTATTAATGCAAGTGAACCTTCCCAAGTATGTATATGTATCATATTTTTAATGCTGTATATTATATAATATTTGATATAATATTAATTGATAATTGAGATAATATTAATTAATATTATAATACTATTTGTGTGTGCATGCATGGAAATACACATATGAATCATTCTACATTACAACCATTATTTTGTATAGAACTTATTGGAAAAATTAAATTTGCGAAAGCATCCACCAGGACAACTTAAGTATATGATATATACTAAAGTAGGAGATGGACCTAAATATTTTGTTAATCCAGAGGATCATTTATTAGATGGCCAGGGTAATCCCATTAATTATCCTTGATCGATTATATTATATACTATATCTTTTTTTGATATAGTATATATTTATTATCTACTTTTTTTAAGTAGAAAAATAAATATTTTATATTCCTGTTAACTCTAATGCATTATATATTTCCCTCTTTTTATCTTTTCTCTATTTTTCTGCACATATATACCCATTTGACTATAAAAAATAGAGTTTGAATTTGATTACAAAGCATTTCTTTATATTAATAACATTAAATTTTGAAAAATATAACTAAAATTATATTCATACAATATTTTTATAAAAGATTAATGTTTATTATAGTTACAATTGAGAAAAAAATAAGCATAAAATTATCAGTTACCTTCTTCATATATATTACTAATACTATTGAACAATAATTGGAGAATTTACAATGATAAAAAAATGCAGATACTGCTGATTATTGTAAGAAACTTAATCTATAATTTAACGTAGAAATTTTGAGGAATTTCTGTTCTGTAAAAATTCTGAAAAGAATGCAATAGGGATCACTAATGATCACAATATTAAAATTGTTCTACATATATTATGCACAATAAAATATTCAAATTATTGTTCAATATGCTGAGCAATAAACGCAACAAAAAATAGCTATTATTTTTCTAGTTAAGTAACTATGCGCGTTATCGCGTCACGAGAGATGTTTCTACATGAATCATGACGATGCATGTTTAATATTAGATATGATATGATCAGCAAAGTTTAAGTAAAGTCAAGTCACATTTATTTCGAATAAGAATGATAGCAAGTGACAGTGAGACATAATCCAAAAGTATCGATCATGTCCGGAACCATGTTGAAAATTTTAGAGAAAGTGGCAAATACCAAAGGTTTTGATCGATGTATGAAAAGTGTGAGTCTGCAAATTTCATCTAATTCTACTGTCTAATGATTTTATAAGATTGAATCTATTATCATTAGGTTGATCGTTCTTTTTCACAAATTAGTTGTTTATAACCTATAACATGATCGACGAATCACATATAATTTGACTGTTTTGAATCTTTTAATACAAATTGTTTTGAACAATAAAAATAATTTTTTTGCACGTTTTCTAGATTATCTGCAATTTTTTTTAATAGGACATTCCTGTTTGTTTTAGTGAACATTAGAATGATCATATCAATAAACACTAAAAGATGTAGTTTTATTTCCTAATTATTGAAAAATATTTAAAGTTAAAAATTAGTTTAAAAGAAAAAAAATTGATTTTTGATAATTATAAATTATTTATGCTTAAGTAAATTGTATATATTTGAATAATTCTTTGAATAGGTACAATTAATCTCAGCCAGCAATGGAAAATGCAAAGCACAATTTACAGTGGCTGAAGAGCACTTAAATCCTGGTGGTTTTTTACACGGTGGATTTACGAGTACTGTTATAGATTGTATATCATCCTATGCTCTGATGACTAATGGAAATGGTTATCCTCCTGGATCTTCTGTAGACCTGCACGTGACGTAAGGATGTAAATTTATATTAAATTTTTTTATTTTACTATATTTTAATCACTTGTATATAGTTAACATACCATATTGATATTTTTCTGGGTGTACTATTTTGATAAATTAAATGTTTGCTCTGCTATATGTACACACATAAATATAAAGTGTATATTTGTCAAAGATTAAGAATTAAACAAGGGATTTGTAATTTTATTATTTTTATTATTAAAAAATACATAAATGCTTATATAATGTACAATAGAATAATTAATGGCACAGGTTTTTGAAGTCTGCGTTTCCTGGTGAAACAGTGGTGGTTGATGCTAAAACTATACGTGCTGGTAAAACCTTAGCCTTCCTTGCGGTGGAACTTACGAAAAATGATGGTAAAGAAGTCGTCGCTCGTGGGCAACACACAAAGTACATATTGATGAAAAAATAGAATTATTAATTATTAGCTTTGATTTATAAATGTTATTATATATACAGAATATATTACGATGTTCACGTATCCTAATCTAACAAATTGTTTCATTGTGTTATTACAAAAATTCTTTAAGCTTTGTTGCAATGTATACGTATAATAATAGCAGCATTGCTCTAAGAGAAATAATGGCTAACGTTTACAATATTGCTTGCAAGTATTTTTATTTACAACAATAAATGGCATGAAGAATATAAAATATATTGGAGAAGAAAGCAAGCGCAACTATCTGTAGCGGAGAGAAAGCAGAGAGAAAACGATCCAAAGATGGTATGCAATTTATTCTTCTATTGTGTCCTAATATCTTCTAATAACGACTTTAGTTCTTTTATACTATGTGACAAGTTGTCAGCCTGCTTTCGCAGTCTCTTAGTCTCTCGATCGCTTTCTTCAAGCATCTTTTGCAAATGTTCTATCTTTTCATTACAGTTTAACGATTTCGTGATCTTCGAGTAGTCGCGATTAGGCGCAAAATATTTCTGTGCTTCTCTTCGCACACGAGAGATACTATTGTCGCGATCCTCACAATTGTCACAGCAGTCGGACCACACGCTTAAATCTACATAGGGAATATCGTCGCAACTAACATAGCCGTTATTATCCTCGGGCAGCAGGAACACATTGGGTTGCACGCGAGTGATGTTATCGCCGTTATCGCACAAGATTCTGGCAAGCGACACTTCCTTGATCTGCGCGAGTTGCTCCGCGCGGAAGATGCCAGGATTCTCGTACCAAAATCGATCGCCATCCCGGGTGCGCCGGAATTGCTCCAACAGGAGGCATGCGAACAGCGGTCCAACCTTCGCGCCCGGCAATTGGTCCTCCAGAATACCGCCGACCCACACGTCCATGTTGCCCGGATGACCGTACAGCTCGCGCAGCTTCTGTCGCACTCGGCCGCTGCTGATCTCGTGAGCTAAATGCTCGAATGTTTCCACATGTGACATGTTGCAAAAATCACGCCATTTTAAGTAGCCAGGTAAGCCGTGATCTCTACCCCGTTGAATGTTCATCGCTGCCAGATCCAGCGCAACTGCGTGCGCGGTGCGGAACAGCTGTTCGGTGAGCTCAACATTGAGATTCTGTTCGGGTAGTTTTAGCTTTGCCGCGGTGGCGAACATACCACGGATCAGCGGATCGACGCCACCTTCCTCCACCAATCGCCAGGGCGCGAAAAAGGCGTTTCGCAGATCAAGAGGACCTTGAGAAATCGACTGGAAGGAAGCATCTAAGCGCTGAAGACGCGGCTGAATAAGCGAATGACCGAAACGCAGTGCTGCAGTGGCAAAAACATTGGATATACTGGCATCGACGTTCGGATCGTAGCCTCGGTAATGCGGTAGAAATCGGAGAATGTCCGAACTTTGGAATATTCGTGGGAGCCAGTGTTGATACGTAATGTGTTGCATTTCAGCGCCGACGACGCGTCTGGCTTCTTGGTACAGCTTTTCGCCGTTCCAATGCGGATTTATCTCGCGTAACGCGCGTGCGACACGATTATGCTCGCGCAACCATATCGTGTGCATGGCCAGCAGACCGACTTGCTCGTTTGCGCGAATATCACCGGCCACAAAGCAGTTGATCGAGCTCTCCAGCGGGTTCCTGCGGCAGTCGACGAATTGACCGGACGCATACGGTAGCAGAGGCTTGTGACCGGGGAACGTGGAACCTTCGCGTAGCAGTCCACGATCTGTGGTAAGGTCGCGCAGATCGCGCGCTAACTCGTCGTCGTAACCGTAGACTTGCGATGCGTCCAGATAACTGGTTAGCTGATTCAGCTGCTCCCGCGGGGTCAAGCCATCCCCCCATAAAATGCTAGTTGCGCCGGAACCACATACGGCGCTGGTTCGCACAAAGTCGATGCATCGTCGATTACTGATACGCGGATCACCCGGTGGCACTTCCATCGGAAAGCAAGGCGCGGCGTTGTCGCAGGACTTTTTGCAGTCGAGCCCGTCCCATGACTCGCTCGACACCGACGGCAGCGCGTGATCGAGATCGTGATCCAGAAACTGGCCCCACTGCATTACCATATGGGTAATCCGATCATCCGACGTAATGTCATGCGTGGATATCAGCGTGGTCGACACCAGCCGCGCGGCAGGCTTCGGATAGCCGTAATAAAGTCGTCCCTTTTCCCAGCCGACCGGCATCGAGAAACCATTCTCGTAAATAGGCTGCAGTATTCTGCGGAATCCCGTGTGGGACGAACCCCAAGTGGGATGGCGCAGATTGTTGCAGCTGCCGTCTACGGTACGATATTTGTTGTGATAGCATCGATTGGTGCAGTTCTGCCGATGCCTATGACCGGTACATCCAGATAATCGTTCGATTTCCTTCACCTGAAACACGGACGTAGTGATATTAAATATACTTCGTGGCTGAAATGACTTCTTCTTCCCTTGTATCGTAGCTTGATGTATGAAGCTTTTATTTGTTTCGTACCTGTTCAGATGTCAGTATCTCCTCGTAACGAAATTCACTGCTCACGTTCGCCTTGGCGCCGGCGTTTATCATTCGCCGGATGTTGACAAGGGTCCTTTCGAAGAGCTCGGCGGGTCTGGCGGCTGCGCGTCCGATTGCGTCCGGAAACCGCGTCAGTCGATACGGATTCACATGTCTAGGTGAACCATCGGTGCTGAAGAGAGACTCTAGTGTTTTATTAATGGCACGATCGATTTCCTCGGTGGCATCTTGGAAAGCTCGTACGACAAGCGTGTCCGTTGCGCCCGATTGCCGAACGCGCACCAGAGCACTGGCACTCGCACGGCCGTAATCGTTTTTGGCCGAGCACTCGTATCTATAAGAAAAGCACATTATCGTATAAAAGCGGTATGAAGGAAGATAATTTGATATCAATTTTTCATCATTGACTTGCAATAATTTTGCATTTTTTATCAACTTTTTGCACTTATAATATAGCTAGCAAAACATACATACATTACTTATTAATGCAAAAAAGAAAACTCCACATAAATATGGAATATTTTACTTTTTTAATTATAGAAGAAGTTGATTGATTAATTTCACAATTAAATAAATTTATAAATTATTGATTAGTTTTTCCATCCTAGATGAAGAATTTAGTTATAAGAATCGGATATATACAAAGTTATAAAATTATACATTTCTATTTTAAATAACGCGATTTATAGATTATCAGAGATTTTACAGTATCACCGAAAATTAATAATTCAAATTTTTCTGGAAAAAAAATTGGTTTTAAACGGCTCCTAGCAACGATCAAGATTATAATATAGAGGAGAAGAGAGTTTCAGCCACGAGATGTATTTGTCATCTATTAATATTTCTGACTATGATTGACTGAAATTTTGATTAGCATTGTATCATTATATTGAATCTTACCTGCCGGTATCCTGCGGGCTTACATTATAGATAAGAAGACTCCCACCGCGCGTGATTTTGACCCTATTGTTCTCGATCGCGCTACCGTCCTTCTTCCATTGTATCACCGGGCGCGGTATGCCCTCGGCTCGACAAGGTATCTCCACCGTAGCGTCTGATTCCGCTTCTATATCCTGGGGCTTGATGATCAATCGGGGTTCGGTGAATGAATCGCGGAATGACGAATCAATCGAAGCGACATATAAATCCGTAAAGAAATGCTCCATGTGGCTGTCTCTACCAACGCGGCACTCGTATCTGCCCGCGTCGCTCTCCTTGACTGCAAAGATGCGCAGGACATCGCCTTCTTCGTCTCTGTGTGAAATTCTGCCGCCGAAGGAAATTGGTAGACCATTTCGAAACCAGCGGACCCAGAGTCCGTTCTGCGCTGGGCAACCGAGAATCACGTCCGTGCCAGCGGTCAAGTTTCGCGATACCGGTTTCTCGGAAAGCTCGTGAACGGGCGAAGGATTGTGTACCGCCACGACCGCCGCTACGGCCCTCCTGGATCTGGTGGAGCCCATGTCGCTACTAGCCACGCATTCGTACATCCCGGTATCCTCCACGGTTGTGCCTTTGATCACTAGAGTGCCGTCCTCGTGAATGATATATTTCACGCCGTCTTCGTGGATCACCGTCTTCCCACTGTCATCCTCTACATCCAAATGCGAAACATTCTTTTCTTTCATCCACTTGATTTTCGGTGTCGGGTCGCCCGTTACTCGACACGTGAACACCATCGTCTCGCCATATCGCACTTGTGCATCTTTCGGTTCTTCTATTATGCGCGGTTTTGCTGTAAGACCATTTTTTTATTATTTTATTTGTGTTACTTTCGTCTCCTTATCTTTATTATTCCTTACGCTTTTGTTATTAAAAAATCATCTAATTATTCTGCGTAAACATTCCTGAACAAAATTATGCAAAATTCGTTTCTTCATTTCTTATAGAATAAATGTATTTACAACAATCGTTCTTTTCTTCTAAAAGAGGTACTTTGAAAAATGAATAATAATATAGCTGTTATATCCGTTTGATATATACGATAAAAAGAAAATCAAGCTCTAGAATTAATCGGCGGCATCTCTCTTGTACAGAAGTATCGAATTAATTTTCCGGTAAAGGATCACGCGATGGATATGCAGATCATCCTAGCGACAGCATCGTCACGCGAGATGAAGTAGCACGATGAGCGCTGTGTCAATGACCGCGATGGCATAATCGCTATTAAGAAAGCCATCCTTATATCAGCATTAATATTGCAATCACATACTCGGTGTGTGCAATAATCCACAATGATAAAAAGTAAAAAATTAAGTAGTAACCCACAGGAAATAGAAGAACAGAATGTATTAAATGTTTCGTACATTTCTAAATGTTACGGTTTGTTAAAAATCATTATTATTTTCCCAACTTTCGAAATCGATTTCCTCAAAAATAAAACCTCAAGTGAAAAAAATGTTATTCTACATTTCCAACTTATTTTTGTAGGAATAACATCGCGCATAATATAAATTATCTGACAATAATCTCAGCGCGCAAGTATAAGGGTTTGAAGTATAAGGGCAAGTGTAAGGCCTCATCTTACTCAACTGCAATGAAAATCTTCGGGCGACATTGTGGTGAGAGAGCGACCCTTCATCTTATGCGGGGATTGGCAAACCGCCGCTATCTCCATCGGCTTCTCCCGCATACGTTCCACCAGCCAGTGGAGATTGCAGTCGCAGATGAGCGCGTTGTTGTCGAGGCGCAGTCGTGTCATCTCTTCGACGTGGCCGAACGCTTCGTGGGGCAACCGGTGCAGCTTGTTGTCATGCAGAAACAGACGTTGAAGCGCCGGCAGGTGAGTGAATGTGCCCGGTTGAATGTTCCGCAGACGGTTGTTCTGCAGGTACAACTGCTGGAGCCATGGCAATTGCGCGAACGCGCCCGGTTCGATGTGCTCGATGCGATTTCTGTACAAATAGAGCGCTCGTAGATGAGGCGCACCCTCGAACGCGCCCGCCGGCAGCTCGCGGATTCGGTTGTCGTTCAGCAGTAACGTGCGTAGCGTGTTATATCCGTGAAACGTCCCCTGGCGCACCTCCGCGATGTGGTTAAATCGGAGATCCCTGAAAAGAAAAAAACAGATTTAGAGATTTGATATGAGCACAAGATAGGAAGAATCAAAGATTCGCTTGCAAAAAGTAAGACAAATCAAATTTCACTACAAAATAAGATGCGTTCAATATTAAATGTTATTTTTGTGTGAATGAGAAAAGTACGCGTATATCTATTAGTATCTGATACCAATCTGATACTAGTAGATGTTGCGTTATTTAAAAGAGACGGGAAATAAACTATGTAAATGGACAATTTTTAGTTTTATATGTTTTGCATGAAAGTCGCGTATCATCACAGATCAAGAATCAGGATCACAATGCATATGACAAATAATTAATTAATGATCATAACTGTATATCTAGTTTGAAATCATAGATAGCAAAGTGAACTTTTCGAAGCTATTCAAGAATATCGGTCACGTTTAGATGATCGCATTCTTTAATAAATGTAGGATGTAAATATATTCAAATTAAAGTTTTGTACAGGCAAGAATAGCATATGTTAAAGCTGCTATCCGCCTACACACTCAATGGAATGAGCGAAGCGTGTTCGTAAACGTTTAGTAGTATAACGGGAGAAAATAGCACGGTCGTTGTTTTTTAATCTGACAGATAAATGATATACAAATTAGAAAGCGAGTACAAGTCGGATTACAAGATAATTCGATTCGCGGAACTCTTATTCAAACCTACGCAAATTTGCTTATTAAAAGGATTAGAATTGCTGCATAAAAAATATATTTTATTAATGGCGAATTATATCAATAAGAAATCTACTGTGAGTACGTTAATTACAGAGATACTCAGATGTACCAGGCATAAATAATTCGGAAATCTATCATTTTTATAAACTGCGTTGTACAATAACATAATTATTACATGACGACACTCGGCGTGCTGCAACAAAGATATTCTGTAGACATTATCAAGCGCAAAGCTTCTCTTAATTAACAATTTCATTCGCCCTGCTGCACATTACTTCCTCTCTAAATTACCGGCTTGAGTTCTTGCGGCTCGACCCGGCGGTATTTCGACCTCCTTATCGTGCCGGCAAATCGCCGGCACAAGTACGCGTGCCGACAAAAAAGTAGAAGAAACTGGGGTCTAACTAGTAGGAATTGCTCACAATACGATACCCTTTTGCTTTTTGCAAATTATATGAACAGTATGGAGTATCGAATAACAGCTGTATGACAGTCAACATCAACGTTTTTATTTCTATTGTGAGTTTTTGTTGTATAATAAATTAACACTCTAACGATGCTACAATTTATTAATCAATAAATCGTTTGATATTATATTATCTATAATGCCGGCTGTTTGCATGCTGTTATTCGATCACCATTTAATAGAAGTGCTTGTCGACGCGTATAAATATCGACGCTTCATTTACGCCAACGGTGATTAAAATCTCTCATTAATCACGAACTAATTAGCTACATTAATAACAACGAGTGGAAGATGTATGAAAATTACTGCGAAGAGAACTCGACCGCAGAGAACCTCGGATTTCATCGGCCTTGCTATTCGATTTACACATCGACATGTACAAATACCTAAATTTATAACACTGACATAATTTGTTTTCTTATGAGATGTGTAACATGTGTGTATGTGTATAGAATCTATATTCTCTATATTTACGCAACCTTATTTTGCAGAAGACTGTGCAAATTTATATGGTAGTAAATAATTGATGTGTTCTTCACACAAGAAAATAAAAAGTATACAATTATTTCAATCATTTAAAATAATAAATTTATAATAACATAAGTAGCAATAGCGAAAATTTTAATGTCATAAATATATAAATCATAAATAAGCATACACTATAAAATTTCGTGATAAATAAATTTGGCAAATAAATAAGAAGCAAAAACGTGTAAAGATATAAAAAAAGTTACAATAGTAAGATATTAATATCTAGCATTAAAATACTGATAAGTTAATCGCATAATTTCTGTTTCGCGTAGCGACCGCAATTTTTGTCCTGCACGCTATTTGACATATAATCAAACATTATGATCCGGCGTGTGCGGTCAACAAGAGACGATATCTCAGTAGATATCAATATCGCGGGATAAACGCATATTTATTCAACGAAGCCCAAGATAGATATTTATGATAGACTCAACATTTGAGTGAACATTCCACCGATCGTCGGCCGACGAGTGCGAATAACCGTTTATTTTTTCGTAATTGCAAATCGCAAAATGATAATTATCCACGAAGAGTAATATTCAAATGCAAAATTATTAAAGATTAAATAATTTAAAAAATATGTATATAATAAAATAGATGAAGATAAAACTTAAGTATGATTTATGGCTTTTCTGAAATTATATTCCAAGTATAAAATTAACTTATCGTTTTGTCAAACACATAATTTGGATAACGCTTGTTTTATCGTTGCAAAATTGACACGCTGCGCTTGCCTGCGCTATTTCTTTATATTTTAATCTTTAAATCTTACGCAATCATTATGCGATGACCGAGCCGAGATGAACTGTTTCGCATGTGTCATCTATATCGTCTCTTTAGCATTGAACTATCGGAGAAAAAATCGATTTTGCTCATTTCATAATTCCTTGGCAAACTTTAGATAATCTTTAGATAATAATTCGCGATAAAATTTCTCATTTTTTGTGCTGTGCAATATGAAAAACATTTGAAAAATTAGAGTACATATGTGTATAAGGTATTGGTAATATTTTTCGAATATGTGCATTCTGATTTTTTGAATCTTTTCTATTACATAAAGTTATAAATAAATTTCTATCTCTCGAATTGAATTCTATCATAAATTATAGATCGTTCATAGCGGATTTTACTACTCTTTGTCCACATTCGCTTAAACAAAAGCACTGCTGAATTTCGCGGAACGATTATATCATTTAAGCTGAACTGAACAACTTATTGCTACGGAAATAGTGGACAGGGTAACATAAATTATACGAGCGCATTCGTACATAAAACGGCAACGAGGAGAAATGGTTTCGTCTTCGACTTACGTGAGTCATAACGCATATGTATATAGAATGTGATATGTATAGAATCATTTTGTATAAATCACGAAGCAGATATAATTATGATATGATATAGTGAAATACTGTTTCGAAGCCATATTAGTCCAAGCAATATCAAATTACTCATCGCTGATTCACAAAATCAGCAAAAAAATTCCTAGCACTAAAAATATTTTTCAATTTAAATTTACAAATAATTGTTGCATAGAGTGATCGGCACGTAATTATTATAATCAATTTATTAGTTACTTTATAATATAATGGATTATATTCTTGGAGAATGAGTTTCAGCGTTAGAAGTTTCTATCTCATTATAACACAATTATATCCTTCTCGCTCTATGCTGCGAAGAGGGCAAATGCATTCCTCGCACGTGAGAAAGCTCCGTGTCAATTGCAATCTTTCCAACTTGAATGATCATACATTTTGATCAGTATACTTTACTATAAGCGAATATGCATTAACGCACTTTCTCTTGACCTTTTATTATGAATCTTTAACCCGTAATATCATTTACGCTGATTGGCTATGAAGCAACGATTTTTGTAATTATAAGCATTAAACTTTCACAAATGTAAAAAAATCTTGAGGAATATTACAATGAATATTTTATGCTTTCCTAATATCAATAATAAAAAATGGTCAACTCATTATCGGTAAACGAGGTCTACTCAAGCTTGATTAAAATTTCATAAATTAACATTAGACGTCGAAAGAAACTCGTCCTCTCGTTTTTAATTTGAAGTTACTCAAAAATTATGGAACAAATTTATTTTCTCCGGCCATTCTAAGATGATATCGAGAGACGCTCGACCATTGAGGACTAGAGTTTAGCTTACCGAACAAACAACTTACAAGACAGTGGTGTTGACAGGTACCGGTGGTACTTGGTCCAGTCTTTGGAACATGCATCGCACGGTACCGGGTACGATGCACATGCATGCTGATGGGCATTCCACCGTCGCATCAGATGCCTGCGAAGGGCCCGCCAGGAGGAGTGATAGGATCAGCAGCAGCAGCAGCATCCGGACGAGCAGGTCCATGAGTGGCCGCATATCCTCCTATCAATCGTCACCGGTTAAGAATATATCCACGAACTGTATCCACAGGTAGAAGCAGTAACCTGACTAACGTCAGCAGCAGTACCACGTGGAGTTCATCGGACGCACGCACACGTACTCTTGAACACTTTCACCCGCGCGACGGTAGAATCAATAGGCCTGTTCTTTGTTAGTTACACTTTTTGTGCTCATTACGAGATGGATACATAGTTAAATGTCAGAGAGAAAGAGGGGGGGGAGGAGAGAGAGAGAGAGAGAGAGAAGTGCAGCTATAAAGAATTCAAAAATTTGATCGAAGCCGAAGCTAAAGGTAATAATTCATATGACAAATTTTTCATACATGCTAATTAATTCAGATACACGAAAGAAAATAATGTTGCGTCAGTCTAATTAAAGAAAACTTTATAATTCAATAACAATATTAATTAACTAATCACGCTAGGTTTTTATTTTAACACTACCGTTGAATTAATGAAATTTATTTTAATTAGGCTAGTGTTGTCGATATAACATCATTTTGTCGTGTAGAGAATTTCTAGACCCCCGAAAATTTTGTTCTTCAGCGAGCAATCGGTACATTCGAAAGAACTCGACGAAATATCTGGCTGATATCGAACAAGAATATCGTGCGCTGTAGAGACGCGTTTTCTCAAGAGACGAGCAGTGCAGAAGATAGAAGAGAGAAAAAAAAAGAAAACGAGCGCGCACCACCACGACTGTCCCATCCAGTTCCTGCGCGGCGGCAGTAACTACTGTAGCACCGCGCGGCTCCTACTCGCATCGAAACCCCCGCTCGAGAAAGGTCCGTCGTGGGACTGCCGGTGTGATGTTTCGCGTATACACCGTACGGGAGTACGAAAGGCATCTTTGAGCAAGAGAGATTGCTCTCCGCTTGTTTCCATCCCATCGTTTTTCATGCCGTTCGTAGCGATCGCTATGAAACGAGGAGTATACATAGTGCGACTAAAAAAATGATTAAATTGACAAAAAATAGAAAATAGTTGATTACTTTTGGTTCTCGAAAATTGAACTGCGTTTAAAAGAGGGCAATTTAAAAGAGGGAAAGGAATTAAAGAAGATATCCAAAAATTTCCGAAACGTTTTCCAAGCGTTTCACTTAATTGCTTGTCTTAATTGTCGGATGCGTTGAGCATCGTTGAGATTATAATATGTAATATTAAGAGCAACGAAATCTCATTATAAATAATTCTTGATATCTTTTTTTTAGTTCAGTTCCGAAACTTTTCAGCCACACTGTGTACGTATGAATACAATGAATGCGACATGCGTTGTATGTAAAGCAGGGGAATGCCTGCGGTATTTCCATACTAACGATGTTACCGCGCTACCGATACAATTCTTTCAATAGTAACGAGATGTTTTACAATGAAACAAAAGCCAATGGGGTAATTTTAATAGTTATTAAAATTCAAGAGTACAAAAAACATTTTAGATCATCTTAGATCATCTTTAGATCATTTTAAATCCTCTTGTATCAATTTGTGTAATGTATCCAGATAATCCTAAGAATTCTGTTATTTCATACTCGCTGTAGCGAGAAGATAAGACCACAGATATGCACATTCTCAATGCACCTGACATGCATGGACAGTGCAGTGAATGTGAGAAGAATTGTAGATAGAATGATTCTAATATGCATATCTAACTAAAGATACACGAAAGTCAGTTAAAAATTTACAGCAAAATTCGTAAAAAAAATAAAAATATCAAATTGCAAACAATATTAATTTATAACCAGCATTAAAATAAATTGGACTTTGCCATTAATTATTGGCCTTTGTACATAAACGCCTTGAGTATTGCGTGTATCACTTTTTTTCGAAAGTTGCTGGAACCACCTTAAAGTGGAGATGAAGGCCACTTGTTTGAATGTCGTAGAATTATGAGCGAATAAAAGGAAAAAGCGATTAAAAGCTACATTTAATTCTAAGTGATCGTATTTTCCGTGCATAATTAAGACTACAAGTAGAGAGAAAAGACTCTTGCAATCTTAAAAAATCGTCCATGATCATTGCATGCCCTTCACTTCTGCTTGCGCGGCACACGAGTAATTATTTGATCGCGATTTTTCGCGATTACATACATAATTCAAGCACATACGCTTGAGAGTACATATTGTAGGAAATATGCGTAACCAACCATCGGCAGTAAGCAGCCATAAGCATGCGACTGTTCTGTAAAGATAAAAGTGCTTAATTGAACCGATGGTTTGGCAAGTGTCGTGACGTAGCGATCCAGTTTATAAATAGCTCCGCGAGATAAATACTTGCGCCGGCGCTAATACATTCTCTAGACATCGTCTGGTATTAAAGTCTTATTTAGTTTGATGAAGTGAGACTTTTACAATTAGATTAGAGTGTTCGGAGAAAAAGGGTACGGTTGACCGCGTATCTTATCTCATTTTTTATCTTCGTTCTCCACGTGACAATATATCGGAAATCAAACTTGATATCTGAGAAAATCACAATTACTCTACATTGTCGACAATTTTACATTCCTTGTTATTCGTGGAAAAGAGTGGCTCTAATTGAAGTCAGACGAGAACGACATCGTGTACCTCTAATCTCACGACGGCAAGATACGCGTTTTAGATTAGACTTTATGCGCCAGCTTCTCGTATACGTCGGCTAGAATTATGCGGAGAGAAATTTGTTGACCTTATTATTCCAATAGGAGTATATGTTGCTTTTCGCGTAGAAGTGTCGGCAGCAAAGGGTCCGACAATCGGTGTCACTTGACACCGTTGTTATTCGACGAGAGGAATGCAGTGGCGTGCGTTCATTAAATTAATCATTAAATCTTCGCCGCTCTTTGATCTCAAATCAAAATCCACTAAGGATAAATGTTTGAGTAACATTAAATAATGATGCCGTGATATCGATAAAATCCAGTGCCTCGATTATTAGATATTTTTCTAAATAAAATCGATTTTATTGTATTTATTTTTAAATTAAAACTCGAGATTTAAAGCAATTGTAAAAAATTGTTAATTTTAATAATTTAAATAAATGTCTCATTAAAAATCTTTAAGATAACGTGTAAAGAACACGTGCAAAGAATTGAAAGTGCTTACTATCAATCTACTTCAAGGCATTTGCTAGATGAAAACGTCCTTCGTAGCGAAAATATCTAGTTTAGAATCGCAACGGCAACACAAGAGCGTACTCTCGTTCTTCCGATTGCATCGCTGAAGACTGGATACGCATTTCTCAGGCTATAATCAATTATCGTCCGCCCGTCTCTTTTCAGCATTCCACGATATAAAAGCACTCATACAGGTGCGTTCTCTTTCACTCTCCGTTTCTATCATTTCTATATCTGATTCTTCTTTTTTTTTTATGCTTTATTCTACTCGTTCTCCGCATTCCTCTTTTCCACATCTCCGCTCATAATGCGGACAACCTCTCTGATCTGAAGTGTCGAGAACGACTCACTCAGCTGGAGAATATGTTCGGAAACAGCAGATTTCGTTAGTTTCTTCATATTTAAGATCTTTACATTATGTTTTAAAATTTTTTCATTCATTTTGCAGATGTGAATAAATTTAAATTAATTTTAATTTGTGAGAAAATTCAGACGACCGAAGTTCTTTGGAATACTTGTTAATAAAATGGTGTTTGCGCGATGATGATATGCACGTTACCTAAAGTGGTAGATGCGTAATCCAGAGTGGGCGCGACACGAAATATAACGGATGAAATTTCCTTCATGAGCCACGCTCGAAGGAGGTCGAAGGAGGTTTAAGCATCCGCGAAATAGATTATTTTATGCGATTGTCTGCTGGCGTGGTACGTGGTACACACGATTCTCCTTAATGTATATACAATCTGTGAATAATTTCACAGATTCCAGTATCAGAATCACAGATTCGGTACGTTCAGTACGTACAATTTGTCAATTACATATTTAAATAATAATTATCGATTTTTTTATATATCCTATTTTAATTATCCGGAATTGAAATAATTAAACATGGCCAAAGATATATTAATTCTACGAGGATTCGAATGAGAGGAAATACGGAATATTATATTTGAGGAAGGAAAAACGAAAGACGAGGGGTTGAAGCGCAGTTGAAGTTGCATTTGAAACTGGACTACATATGCAATCAGTTTTTGTTACCTCTGAAGGTCCGGTGCAATCTGTTTTTAGGCTGGTGCAAAACGGATCCGTTTGTCACGGCTCGACCGAGAGATTTCCGCTCTTTGTTCGCCATCGCTATTTCAGCTCTCGTCCTTGCGTCCGCAAATGTGTGAAGGGGCATAGGTATCGTCACCGCCGTGATTTGCATCACGATATCGAATATCCATTGCGTAATTCGTTACAACGTAACGCGACGTCGTTGCAAGAATCGATCTCTCGTATACTTAACTGTGAACCGTGTAGGAAGCAATTATACGTTACATAACAAATGTAATGTCTATCAAATAGAGACATGTAATTTAGATACCGATTCTAAGCAAGGTGATAGATAAACAGAATGTTCAGTTACACCCAGCGTTTAACGATTTATCGGCATAAAATAAACGTATTTTTTTTATCTTCAATAAAAATATCTAATATAAAAATGTCAAATACCGTTCTATTTTTTTCTTGTGTATTTTTTGTGTGCTAAATGAGTTTCGGATATAGGTAAAGTACAACTTCCGATATCGACAGTAAATCGGACAAGGTCAATTGCAATCTTCCTGTATGTGACACGCTTTATGATGGAAATCATTGGAAATTGCAGAATAGAATCGAGCAAATCATGTGGCGCATTAGAGACAGCCGTACCTACAATTTATTAAAACAAATGTGTCAGCAATTGTTAAGAAAAACAAAGCTAAAAACACACTACATAAATGATGAAATAAACAGAAGAAATTAAATGAGAGAAATTTTACCTTAATATTTTTTTGTCTTTTCTCCACTGTCATAAATTCGACATTAATATTTGATAAGTTAGATCTCCAATCGTCTGTTTATTTAAAATGAGTGCTACATGGATGTATTAAAGTATAATGGTATGTATGTAAATAGCAAAGTACTCGTTCACTCATGTTCAAGTACTCTTGGCTCGGATCAAATTTACATGTCTGTAATCAAAAAGCAGAAAAGAATAAATTAAATAAATTTTATCAAGTAAAATAATTTGATATTTTTATAGATAAATATAAAATTATTTTATTTAATAAAACATTTTTTTAACGCATACATTTCTATATATCTATTTATCTTGAGATTGAAAAATTTATTTTAAAAATTATTTTAAAAAATTTCGGATCTTTGTAAAATTCTCTTGAAGCACCGTTTTTGGACTTACTTCCGACTTTACTTCTTAGAATTGGATACAATATGAGCAAATTATAGTGTCATATTACGAAAAATTTTGCGCCATCCTAAACAAGAATTTAAAATAGTTTACCGCCAATTTAAATAAAATTAACATTATGTTTATTACCTGTATGATTGGGAAGGGTCTTATAGGGCCACAAGTTGAAAGGCGAGTGCCGCTTGATGTCACAGGCTTATGGCCCCGAGGCGTGGCTACAGAAATAGCCCGTGACTCAATATTTAGGCAGCGTTGACTTGCTGCAGCACGCTCTCATCATGGAGCCGTCCCGTAGAACGGGACGATGATATCAGTCACAGGAAATTCGCCATCGATATACATTTATGTCGATAAAACAATGAAAATATATTTTATTCCTCATTGAGTAAGATGTAAGAAATATAAGTCAAATAGTATATTTTCCACTTAATTATATTCAATTAATTGGAATTATTTCTGTGTATCATATAACATATATTAATAAGAATTACTAGTTTCAAGTAAAAATTCAATTAAAACAATCAGTCAGATTAAAAAAAAATGTATTGAAGTCTTCAAGTGTTCATTATTATAACATTAGTTTATGACAATGTATATGTATGTGTGTATGTGTGCATGTGTGTATGTGTGTGTATGTATGTCGTGTGTGATCATGTGCATTTATAAATTTATTAATATGTGTTATTTCTTTGTAACTTACTTTACATAGTTTCAGTCGCGGTAGATGTACATATCGTTGCGCCAGATTATGATACATAGTTACTATATACATATAATATACGTAATATACATATATTATTTGTCACAAATATGTACATTATACATGTATAAGATATTCAATCTGTGTCAATTATGTTATGTATATATTGCGTCATCTATATTGTACTTATAATATATATATATATATATCACCCACACATATTATATATAACATTACATACATATACATATAATGTACATACTCGTTCTTATAAATATGTTGCGCAGATTGCTCCCTATTGTCGCCGCTGTTTAGCGCCCGACTCCTACGCTCGTCCTGGTATTACTATAGCAAACGCAAACTAAACGCGTAACAAATCAAACTGCTAACTTTGTACTCTGCTTCCGTCATTTTCATAACTAAAACGTTATTTGGTGTATTGCAAAGTTTATAAAATAGTTGAAACTTTTTTATACTTATAATATATCTTTTCGTTCCACACCTGCTAGAACTAATTTACATTCCCGTTGTCACCGTGTATCGTCGTTCAAGGAATGTCATCAGCGACGAGTGAGTTTTTCTATTCATCACTTAATACTAGAATCGTGCTGCTAATGTAATCCTCGACGACAATTGCACAAGAAGTGGTTGAACGTTTTCAATTGTGAAAAAAAGAAACTGAAATTGAGCTATATAGTAATCGCAATCTTAATAGCTAAAAAATTTCTCTCTTAAATCTATATATATATATATATTCTACGAAAGTCAAAGAATAAAGAGACTTTTTTAAAGAGTTTAATTCCTTAAATGTCCTTTTACTTTTCGACTCTACCTTATATACCTTTCGCATGAAAAAGGAAGTATGATCTTTCACATGAAGACGTTTCATTGTGTAGTGTCTTTATACAGATGGTGCTTATTGGCAAGAATTCTCAAGTATAAAATCGATTCTTAAATTACAGTTCTAAGAAGACACATTCTTCGATATTAGATATTGTATTGGTTCTTCACTCACACAAAGGAAGATTCTCATGCGACAGATGTCTATTTCGGCCGGATATCATCACACTGTGATGTCTTTTCACGTACTATCGTCACTTTCCGCACGACGAAACGACGAAACTCACGCTAATTTCATATATATAGTGCGTTCTCGCATCTTACAGTGCTTGAGTTCCTTGAGCGCACGTTGCGCCTCGCTCGGCGAGGAGAAGGCCACGCGAGCGTCCCCGGTCGGCATGCCTCTCTCATTATAACGCCGAATTACATTCTCTCGTTTGACGTGAAAATCGCCAAAGAATTCGATGATTTCATGAATATCTGCTTTGAACGGCACGTTCTCCAGCGATAGCACGCAGCCGGGCTTGCCGAAAGCTTCGACGCAGTCCATAGATGGTGGATGGCGGCCCATCATATGCCGCGGCATGCCCATCATGCCCGGCGGACAACGAGGCCCGAAGCCGGTGTTGCCGAAGCGTGGTGGTATGTGACCCATCGGGCCGCCGAAACGCGGCGGTCGTTGGTGCTGCTCCTGCATCGGCTGGAAGTGCTGCTGCTGTGTCTGTTGCGTCTGCTGCATCTCCATCATGCCAAGGGTCTCGAGCATTTTAGAGCGAGGTACCAATTCGATGGTGGGTACATTCTTGCCAAGCGGCACACCATTTTTCGTAAGCGCGCGTTCCGCCTTTTCAACCGAGTCAAATTCGCAGAAGCATTCGCCACCCGGTTTGCCTTGTTGATTCAGCATCGTGTGAATGCGCATTGGTACGATGCCGATATCCGAGAAATAGTCGAAAATATCGCGGTCGCCCGCCTGGAACGGCAGACCGCGCATCAGGATGCAATCCGCCAGATTCAGACTTGTCTGCTCGTGTTCGCGCTTCGCCTGCGCGAATTTCTCCTCACTGATGGCGGTCGCGGTCACCTGCTTATTGCCGATCTTGAGCGGAGTGCTCAGCGACGACTTGGCGTCCTCGAGTAGTGCAAATTGCACGTAAGCCATGCACTGATTGGAGGCCCCGGCCTCCTTGCCGCTGCTAATGAAGAGAAGATCGTTGATCTTCCAGTCGTGAAACAGTTCGGCTATGTCGACTTGCTTGGTGAAGGACGGCAGATCGGTTAGCAGGATGCACGCGGACTTTCTGATATCGCCCTCGGTGCTGTCCTCTTTGTCGGCAGGCGAGTAAGAATTCATCGCTTTGTCGAAGATACTTTCGTCTAGGTGAAGCACCTCAACTTCGGAGGCTCGTACGAATCTCGTCGTGCCCAGCGCGAGTTCCTTGCTTTCGGTCTTGTTAAATTTGATGTATGCGATACCTACGCGATTACCGTGGTTATCCTTAATTATCTTCATGCCATCTTTCCTAATATAAATACCCTGGAACGCGTGACGCAAATCCGCGTGCGTCGCATTCAACGGCATATTGCGCACTTCCACACAATGGCCAGTGCCGCCGCTGCTGTTGCTGCTGCTACTACTGCTAGTTCCGTTCTTGCTGTCGCTGGAAAACCTAGATGAATTTCCGGATTTCCTGCCATACGACGCCGTACGATCGTTGTCGTAGTTTCCGAAACTGGTCGTGGTCGCCTGAAAGGCGTGCGGATTGCGACGACTCTCGAGATCCTGCACCTTATTCAGAATGTGACTGTTCTGCCTGACACCCCGGAAGCCGCTGCTATATTCTTGGTTGAACTGATTCGATCGGAATCGATTGGTCTGGTCTATTCTGCCCTGTTCATTCTGACTCCAAGATTCCTTGGAGCGAGTCGCAAGGCCGCCCAGACTGGGTAGACTGGCGGTGGTCAGATTTTGCGACAACGTTGTCATACCTACCGTCTGTCCGAACGCCTGCACGTGTGATTGCATTAGGCTGCCGACACCGTTCAGACCGTTTATAGAGAACTGATTTGATTGCAGCATCGGTTGCTGACCTATCACAGGCGTGCTGAAGCTCGCTATAGCTGAACGCTGCGCATCCGTATCCTGAGACAAAGCAGCGACATTGGCGCCTAGAATACCCGGGGCTAACAAAGCGGCCTGCATCTGCGTCTGCGGTGGCACTTCCCATATGCCGTTTTCTACGAGCGGTTTCTTCGTCGTAGCCGTCGACGATTTGTCCTTGTGAAATTGGCCGACGCACACGATATCGCTGTTGTCCTCCTCGTTGGTATCCTTGCGCCGATCGCTCGTGGAGTTCCTCTTCGAGTCGCGATCACGCGACCTCGTGCGATCACGCGATCTACTGCGATCGCGCCGTCGCCGGTCTCGGCCACCACGATCTCGATCACGGCGATCCCGATCTCGCGATCTGCTGCGATCTCGCCGTCGCCGGTCCCGACCGCGGTCTCGATCGCGACGATCTCGATCGCGATCACGATCGCGCGATCGTGAGCGATCCCGCGATCTTGACCGGTCACGTCTGTCCCTTCGGTCCTTGCCCGACTCGCTGTCGTTATCCTTTTCTCTCCTATTTTCGGTCGGGGAACCCGGTTGCTTGCCAGGAACCACAGTGGGCGGCACTGCCACCGCCGGTGTGGATTGTATGATGCATTGTAAATTCAAAGTCTGTTGCCGAGCGGCCTCGATCACCTTCTGCATTTCGGTGCGCGAGCTCAACAGCAATTTAATCTTCATTTCCTTTATCTTGCCACCATCATGCATCATCGCTTGGCGAGCGTCCTCATCGGTGCTGTAATAGCGAAACGATGTTTCCGTGAGATTTCCGGTTTTCCGTTTCAGTTTAGTTCATTAATTTCTTTCTTATTTTATTACATAAAATTATTTATGCGTTTGTTATATTATTAAAAAATACTATTTATTTTTTTACGATTTGTCTCATCAATGCGAGCATATAAATTTGCTAAGAATTTAAACTTATTAATGCCCTAGTTTTTTCTTCCAAATAAATTGCCTACTTTATTTCTTGCACTGTTCCAGTTGTGTACGTAAAAAGATATAATTATCTTAGTCATAAATTATAATAATCTGCCATGTTAATGTGTTTTCCATAACAGATATTATACGCGTGTAAATAATGGGTCTTGTGTAAGAAAATCTTGCATCGCTTTTAAGGCGACGATGCGTAAAAAGTTGAATAATTATTACACTATTACTGTGGCTAATAACAAGCTTCAGTAATAACTAGAAATTAATTCTCTGTGCATCCATATATCAATAGCTTGTGTGCGGCAACATTTTAAACTTTCCACCGTAATAATATCGTAAATAACTATGATTTAAGTTGAAGTAAAATTAATTAGAAATTAATCAGCAAGAATCTTATTATCTTTTATCTATCAAATTGTCATTAAGATTATTGTAAAAATATATTATGCACGAAGCGTGAGCAATTAATAAAAATATTTTGATAAATATATAAAATCCCATTTAAAGATAAAATTTATTTGTAGTTGTAGATTTATGATTTCATATTTTATGTCGATGTTACATCGTAAAAGATAATTTGATAATCGCAAGAAATCTCTGAGTCGCAGTACTTGGATGTCGAGTAAACATAAAAAAGAAGATGCAAACGCATTCATTATACTGCTCATTTTTTTTAGAGCGATTGATTCATGCGTTTGTAATTACCTGAACGCGATGAACGCATCCCCCTGCTCGCCGCCGACAATATGAACGCCACCCTCTGGAATACTCAGACCTCTAAAAAATTGGCGTATGTCCAATGCGTTGGCGGACCACGCCAGATTTTGCAGTCTGATTATGACGCTCATTTTCTTCGAAGTATCTGTAACCGAGCCGAGAAGCAACGAAATTAAACGACGGGGAATAGACACCCTTGATGTGACTATGAATGCGATAGTCCAAGTCACGTTGTTGGCAAATTGTTTAATTGTTGAGGATGTTGGACAAATATTCTCAGTGCAATACGTGATTATAGAAAAAGGAAATAAAAATGCACTTTTCAGATATATATCTTTTATTGATGTATATATCTTATATTAATTTTATTATCGTATTATATATTAACTTCTCTATCGCAACATAACAAGATTTAATATATTTACAGAAATTATTTATCATATATTACACGCTTGTTGCATTAATAATATCATTTATTTTCTCTTTGGCAATATTTTTCATATATATAAAATTATTCATATACTATATACTTATTACATTATGTTTATCTTGATTATTTAATTATTTGTTTTTAATTATTCTTTGCACACAAGATTATTTTTATGGTACGCTTAATATTTAATATGGTACGATTAATATTTAATATGGTACGATTAATAATTAATGGTTAATAATTATAGTTGTAAAAAATAAATTTAAAAATATTTTTAAAATCTCAGCACTCGTATAAAAGGCATCTAGCGCAATTCATCTTTTATATCTCGTTTTTAACTGAAATGAATTTTATCTTCGAAATGAATCGATTCTCCTTCACGTCTTCTCTAATCTCTGTGCCAGTTCTCTAACGAGTCAAGTAAAAAAATGCTCTTCGATTTTCGAGCAGTTGGTACCAGCGCGTATTTCTCATGTCGCGCATAACGTGTTCTTATCGCGACTTGCGCAATATGCTTCGCAGGCAAATAACTTTCTCTCCACACCGCTGATTAAAGCAATATGACTGCACAGACTGCACAGACAGTACGTGATGAAGTGTCTTCTTAATCGCATAATACACTAGAGTCAATAATTTTCTTCTGGTAGGTCTTCTGTTTTGAAGTAATCGTTGTTCCATTAATTTCTTTCATGCAAAAACATGAATAGGCAATTGGATATTGTTGTATGTAATTTATTGCAATCTTGTTATATTCATTTGCATTTAATCGTGCGTGCCGAACCGGAAAAGTCATGCAAGAATAAACATGTAAGCAAGTCGGAAAATTGGATTTATTAGATTTAAAGATATATTCGAGCCAGTATTTCTACAAATAACATACACGTTTAATCGCGTGTAAAGGTGCATTTTTTAATATGTATTTCAGTAATTTGAATAATTGTTTAGTCGTGCAATAGACTCTTTCATCAATAAGAATATAATCATTCGCGATTTATACGCATTGAACAAGTTGTAAAATGCAGATTTTATTGTATTCAGCTGTGAATATTTGATCAATTGTTTTTAAATTGCTATAAATTAATGTTGAAAATATTGGGATAACGTTTTCCATGTGTGAGTGTTATAAACACATTAGGTAATATTTCATTCATCAATCATTTCATTAATTCTTACAACTCAACAATAGACATAAATGTCTTTGATAAACAATCTTCTTTTAAAATAAAAAGGTACAGATTTGGAAAATTGACAGTCCCGCATAAGCAGGAAAAGAAATTCATTTTTATCTTGCCATCAGACAAATCCAAATAGAATAACGTAAACATATGCAGACTGTCTCTTATATTTTTAAATCCAGATATTCATTCAGTTTAAAATGTAAAAGATATCTGAAATGTGTGTCACGGTAGCATATGTGTGCGTACTTGCCAGCTTTATTATTACAGCGAATTCTGATGGCGCTAAAGTTTTGGCAGAGGAACGCTTCAACATATAAACACCCACACGTGTTACGATTGTACGTCAACAATCGAATCATTGAGCTTAGTTCTTATTTCTTTTTTACTGATCGTAAATTCTCTAGACACAGACACGCTCGTAAAAACTGAAAGCTTCAAACATATCTTGTGTGAACGAAAACTCTAAATCATAATGCGTAAAACGCTTTGCATTGATTGTAAAATTCAACTATGAAAATTTAACATCAAGTAAATATAAATAATATAAATATATCAAATTCCAATATAAAATAAAGAAGTCATGAGTCAAAATAGGCAGTGATCTTTAAGTCAAAAGTACAATTTGACTTTTAAGATATAAAACTAAATAACGAGGAAATTATTTCTATATATAAATAAATATAAATATCAACTATTGAGTAAAAAAATTTGATTTCTTAATATTTTGCCGGTTAACATAAAAAATAATAATAATTTCCACAAGTAAACGTATAGATATCAATTTTGAACAGAGTTCATTTTCAAATGTTAATGTTATAAATAATATATTAGCGAGGAGAGAATTGTTATTCGTGAGAGAGAAATTTCTATTCGTGAGAAAGCGTAAATATCGATTATTGTACCAGAATGGATTTTCAAGTGTTCTAAATCGTAAAAATGTAGATATCAATCATTAAATAAAATAAGTTAGCTGCTCTAAATCATAAATTAACCGCGGGATAAATAATTTACACGAATAAACATAGACATTGATTGATCAGTGAGTTTGCAATTTGATTTCCAAGTTAATGGATACAAGAGATGGAAAAAATTCATATCATAAAAAAAATATCGGCTTTTGACCGAAACAAAGTTCAATCTGAAAGTATTTTAAATGGCGAATTAAATGGAAAAGAAATTAATTCTTCACTTTTATAGAGCAATCATGTGAAGCAATTTTCGCGCGTCGAGCATTTTTCACTCTGTGCATATTATCCGAAAGCCGTCGCACTTTAGGCGACCGTAATTACAGGTAGTCCACGTAACTGGTAATTTTCATGCCACAAGGTAGTAGTCGAGCAATCTCTGATGATCGTGTTTGTAATCGATATATTACTCTTTACGTCGTTGCGAGACTATGATTATCAATCATTATTCTATCATAAAAAAAAAAACGATATATTGTTAATATTTGTCCTAAAACGAACGATTCGACACACGAGACGAACGAAACTACGACGAAATGATTATTTTCACACGCGTTAGAATCCAAGACAACCAGACAAGTTTGTCGAGAATAGATTTTACGAAGGGTCTACTGCAATTTTCGTCGACAGAGAATACCGATAGAAATCCAACAGAATCTATTTAAGGAGCATAATAGCGGAAACTGATAGCAAAGTTTGTTATTTCACACAAATTTGAAATATTCTATTTTATTTATATTACAGCTTGCAAACTGCCCGTATATTCCTAACATTTTGCTTACTAGGATAGTTTCATGACCAAAAAGACCGCATGGTAGGATTCGAAACGCTAATCAACATACTGCAGGGAATTTTCAGATTGGTCCATGCGCGCATACACGGAGATCTTATCTGAAATAAATTCCGAATTGCAAAGAGAAGATGGTCCCGTTTAATCTTTCCCGATCGAAGTAATCGGCAAGTCATCTCCTGCTGTTTCAGAGCACGCGTTTCTGTCGACGAGCACGATGACATCGTTCGCGTTCCGTCTCTTCGGGCTTCCCCACCTGCCATGAACTGCTGAATCCTTTCGTTGAGATCGAGAAGAAAAGGTTCGACGATTAGGTTGTACTTTATTTGAAAATATTCTCGTAAATGCTCTCTCGAGTCGAACAGATCGATCACGTCGTACGCATGGGTAACGTTTCTTCCGCAATTATCCTATTCATTGATAGAGTAGTACCTTCCTCGGAGGGGCGGGAAGAAAAATATCCGCATAACATACATCATCAGTTTCGAGGTTTCATTTGATCTCAGTACACTCCTTGACAAAAGTACTCTGCAGTACTTAGGAGTGACGAAAATGTAAAACCTATTTATACTGTTGTCGACTGTTTTACTACGAGCTCTTCAAAGTCGATACAGCGAGCATAAATGTATTACGATCTTTCATCACAATGTTTGGTAGAATAATATTCTTAACAAAAATAGCGAAAAGTTGCAAAGTTGGAATTCAAATAATATTTATTCGAAATTCCTGCAACACTGTCGTATGTGGGTAAATAATAGCAAGTTTCTACAATAAAGACGAATTAATTCATCGCAAAAATTCAAAAATTATATGTTACATCATTTGTATTAGAAGTATATTAAGCCATATTCACGTTTCTGGCGTATTTTCTGGCAACATAAATTAATTCGTCTTTAATCATTTTACGCGCATAGGAGGCGGGTTTGATCAAGAAATGACCCCGTTAACAGATTAATATCGTTGTTCTGAAAACATTGTAAAACTAAAATTTTATGTGTTCCAAACTCTTGTAGAATGTGGATACAATACCGATATATATATAAATAATCGTTGTGTAATAATATAAAATCATATAAAAACATAGTAAATTAGTTTTATTTTTACGTAAAACAATTTTATGGGCTTGTTTTATGTCATGAAAAAGGTAACTTTCTTTATACATTTTTTAAAATTTACATGTATAATTTTACAGCTTATTATTTTTAATATCTTTATAATTTCGTATTTGGCACGCGAGGAGAAACATTATTTATTTATTTCACGAATTATTTAAAAGAGAATATTAAAACTTTTTTTTTTACACAATACCAGATGGAATTCCAGAATTCTGTATGATTGAAGATTAATCAACTTTTTGTAATGCGTTATGTTTAGTGTTTCGCGAATTTCGCGCAGATGCAAAGTTGCAAGGAGAGTTTGGGGATAGGGGATCATGTCTGAGATGCAAGTTGATACGACACACGTTTAGTTTAGTTTAAACATCATTTAGGAACGCATGTTAACCAAATGTTAACAAAGCGACAGTCGCCGGCCTGTTGTCTGAACAATATGAACAATGCAATGCAATGCAATGCAATTGCTTATTGCTTTAATTTTCGACAGTTTGAAATGAGAAACGCGTTGTTTGCCGATGATTACTCCTAATTAATTAACGTCAAATTAATTAACAGAAAGGTATTTTTAGATTTCTCCTCGACACGCCATGATCACAAGTCTACTGCTTCTCATTTATATAGTTGAATTCTTTTTATGATGACACGCAACGAAGGACAAATGTTAAAGCGCTGGGTCGATATTCTAGTCGTAAAATAAAAAAATATATACGATAAACCGATATAGATTCAGTTGGTAATGTGTGTTTGCGTGTATGCGTGCAAAAGACCGAGAAAATCGGTCTACGTTGTCCATTTTGAATGCATCGTGCGCAGTATCGAATACCAAAGCGTTCGCAACGATGAAAGCAAGTCGACAAATCACAGCTGCATCAACGTACTTCACACATCCGTTGCTGCTTCTTCGCTGCGTTATGTATGTGTCGCAATCCGACAATATTAATTACACAAGAGCATCGTTAAGATGGTATTTAGGCGTTTAACGGCGTCGAAGTCAAAGATCACAAATTGAGTCTTTCTACTGTTTCCATCTTTTATCTTTCAATATAATTTAATAGTGGTTAGAATTATTTAGTAGATAATTATCTAGAACTTTTAGTACACTTTGTAGCCTTGTTTCGCATCTAAAATTCTTTGTTCATAACTTTTTAGGCGATAATGATGGTTCCATTTCACTGTTACATGTTAACACGCGTGAACGTGCGTTATCGCAAAGTATTTTAGGGAGAAGCATATATGAAAGTGCAGTAGGGGACGAAAACTGTGGGAAAATTTAGAGATTGTTCGCGTACTTTGTTACGCATATGTACACGTGTATAAAATAAAGGACGCAGTTATATAGATATGACCTATGGTATAATCGTAACGTAACTTTCTAGAACAAAAGTTTACTTTGTCGCTTAAATTACTTTAAAGTATTATAAATATTATAATTAATCTTTTTTTCACGCTTTTCAAAGTTTTGCATATTCGTAATACTTTTCACGCTTAAATCAAATGTGAGATACAAATGAACATGAACAGAAAGATGATAATTCTCAGGTTTAAAAAATTAATCAGAAAAACTGTATTTCGTGATAAGAAAGCAGAATTATAAAAGCGGGAATATTCAACAATTTTGTATTTATTAAAATAAAACCTTTTTTTAATTTAAGAAAAATATCTTCATAACTTTTCGTAAATAGAATCAATTTTTCTTGATATGAAAGTGATGAAAAAATATTATTTATTTTCATCATAATGTTAATTTAACATTTATTTCCAATTCTGTTAAAATCGTCTTAAATGTTCCGAAGTTTATTGTTTCACAATCCACAAAAATATTAAAATGCATATTATAAAATTATTAACTTTTGTTTTTTTTCTTTTTTCTTTGAAGAAAAATAAGCATGTGCTAATTAATTATCATTGCATGAAGGCAATGATGCCAAATTAAAACTTACCTTTTTTTATTGTTTGAAAAAGTTATTGTATAATTTTCTTAAAGTTGTTAATTCGGAATCAACAACTTTAATTTATTTGATAAAAAAAAAAGCTAAATAAAAATAGCGTAGTAATTATAAAACTTATTGAAAATATTAATTAATTTCTTAAGACTAATTTAAATCTGAATTAAATATGGACTGTATCATTGAGCCAAAACAAAAAACCGTGTGCGCATTCTTGTCGTAGCGGAGAAACAGTAATAAAAACGTTTATTCGTACACGAGGCGCATCCTTAGGGTTCGCATAAATCGTTCTACTCTAATTCGGCTAGCTCGACAGCCCAACGATATTAGTGGCAGAAACGCTTAGGGATTTACAGAAATATTATAAAAATAAAATACAGTTCTCTTTTGATTTTTCTTTCAGAAGGTAACGACATCATTTTATATCCGTTCTTTTCTATATGAATAATTAAATATGATTTTTATCCTAGAAAGTTATGTTGTCCTTCCTAACTTGTTTAATTGTATCATTAGTACTTTTTTGCAGAGACAATTCTATGCACAGTTTATATGGAGGACACATGAAGAGATAGTATGATAGTTGATTGTAACTGTAGATTGTGTTTCCATATTTCAATCATATAAATGTTTTGTAAAACTTCTTTATTATTTTTGTAAATTTGGGATTATATAAATTATGAACTAATTTTATTACGTGACTTATTTGATCATTACCTTTTAGACTTTAGTAACTTCAGAAACTTCTTTCTTCTTTGCTCTTTCTGTCTCGTGTTTTGTTTCTCTCTCTTTCTCTATCCCTCAGCTAAAACGTAGGATGAGAGATAAGAGTTGATTGAGAACAAAGCAATTCAGCACCAACACTCATCGAAGGATAATGAAATGTAGAGGAAGAAAAGAAGTTATCTGCACCATGGCATTGTACAAAATCCACCGAGAAGGAGAAATCTGTTCTTGACACCTAACACACACTGAGCAGTCTAAGATCCTGTAACATACAGCAAGTTTCTTCTCACTGCATCTAAACATTTTTGCAGCAATGACAAATTACATTCGCATTCAATTTCTTATCTTAGGCAGTTATCTACTAAACTAGAATTTATTCACACATAAAGATATTTCACAACACTAGTATGTTTTTTAGCTATAACAAATTTGCAACTTTATATTTAAGAATTAATCACTGATTTGCACCAAATTTTAATTTTGAATATCAAATATTTTAATATTAATGTAACAAATTAATTATAAATTCTCAAATGTAATGCACCATTTTATGACTTAATATTTTCTCTCTTAAATATCTCTGAATTTTCCATATATTTATTGAAATATTTAATATTAAAAGAAAATATGGTAGTTGTGAAACATGAACATGTAAGCATTAGAACTAGTTGTAGCTAATTTTAAAATATAAATATACAACCAGTTTATGCACCTAAAGATGAAAAATTAAACAGAAAATACTAATGTAATAGAGTCCAAAATGTTTTAAATGCTTGAGCGAGAAATAAAGATACTTTAATTTAAATATTTGAAATGCTTTTAAAACAATGTTACAATATTTTCCTTTTTACTTCTCTTCTCATTTCCTTTAATTATGTTTCTTCTTATCGAATCTAGGTTAGACCATGTTGCATCAAATATTTTAGATAGAATTTACTTGAGCATTATTTGCTGCATCATAATGCCATAACTCGTAAAAATAAAGAAATAGCTTACTTGGATCTTTATATTTTCTTTTGTTATTTATATTTCAATATTGTTTGACTGATTTCAAGAATTTAGTGGAGCTCTCTGTAAAAATTTGTTTACATAACCTCTACATATATTCTCAACCATTTTCCCTAGGTTTTTCGACAAAAAGATGGGACATTAACAGTAATAATAATAAACATTTAATAGTTTGTCTTAATATATGAGTCATATGATATATAAATTCGAAACAAAATAAAATTTCATGATTGTTTATTATAAAAAATTTCAATTATTATTTAGTCATAAGAACACGATAAAAATATTTGAAAATTCTTTTTTAACAGCGTAATTAAATTAGATCAAATATTAAAGTTGCAATGCAATTTGCAATTCATACTATACAATTTCCTTTATTCTGGATCACTATTTCTTGCTCAGCACAAACAAATATGTGTTTTAAATTTTGAGTAATAATAAAATAAATAAGTAACAATGAATAAACAAGACATCAAAATTTTTTGGTTTCAAGTATCTCATGCCAATTTTTATTTGCAATCTTGTAGCTTTGCTACTACGCCATATTGCAAGCGTCTTCTAAGCAAACTATAGAATCGAGAATTATAACATATAAAAAAATGCGGATCATCAATCGACGAATGCAATGGTGCAATCAAACGAAATTTTACAAGAAAGGAATCGTGTTTTGAGGTTACAGTAATTACCGAGAACGTAATATACAATCAAAACAGTTTAGTGTTCTATTGCCCAGCAATTCGTCATTGCCGTTTGGACGATATAGAATGAAATATCAACGTATATGCCAAAACATTAGACTCACCGAAATTGTTACGTAAAATCGAAGCGCTTCATCATGAAGAGAGGACGTTGACTACAAACGACGAGATAATTTGAGAACGCGACAAATTCGATCGATCTTGCGTATCGATGAGTTCGTATGCGTGGAAGAGCGTTGAAATGGCTGTCGCGTCGTCTAGCATCTGGGGCGTCTGGCGTCGCCGTGAATTCGGTCGAGTGAACCCCGTAGATCATAGATTATGAAATTATTAGATGTGAAGATGACATAATTTTGCTCTTGCTTGAACGAGGTATGTAATTGTAATATACGCCGCAATTGTATAACTTGTCCAAGTCATTGTGTAGTAATAATTGTAGAATAAAAAACTTTCAAAACAAACTTAATGCAAAACGCAATCGATTGTGTTTTACACAACTCAAAGTAAAAGTAACAAAAATAAAAAAATAATGAATAAATAAAGTTCCTAGAATTTTGTTCACTTTCTTTCTAGAATCTTTAGCCAGATGAGATTAAAACACAACCGCTGATTGGTTGATTTCCAATACTCAACTATAATTTCAAACCTGCAACCTCCTAGTGTGGTTTAGTGCGAAATACAGCAAAGTCATATTCATTGCCGTTGCTCGCGGTCCTTCGGAGCACTGATTCGAAGTAGTTACGAGCAGTTACGAGCGTGAGTGGTATATACGACGAAAATGGCGATGGCTACGAATCAAGTCAAGGGCAGCGGGTGGCCGCGAAGAGCAAGCAACAGTTCATTCGAGGGGAAAGTAGTGCAAAATCAATCAGTCACCATCAACAGGACTGTTAATTTGTAAGTGCCAATACGACATGCGATTATTCACACGAATCTTCTTAGAAATAATGTGTTTCGACTCCTCTGTAGAACGACTATGGCCGGTCGACAGACGCTTGCAATTAATATTATGCCCTCCTAAAACCTTTTCGTTACATTTTACGCGATGATCGATCGTGAGGCTGGTCATCTTTTCTTTAAGCACCAAGTCCCGAAGTTTAAGCATTTCGTATTCACCAAGTTTATACACACACACACGCGCGCGCGAGCTTGTGCATTTATTATATAAATGTATATGATATATATATTTATAATTATTATATGAATGTATGTGAATTTAAGAACTTATTATAAAACTTACATGTGAGTCATCGTATCGTGTATAATTTATGATGATACTCTTTGCTTAAAGCTTTCAAATTTAGGATACTACTGTCGTGTAGTACATACGCTTTATTAGCTGTTACTTAAAAATGTACCGATATTTGATTCACACACAGCGTCAAGCATTATTTCTTTTTCACGATTGTTGTCGTTGTAAACTAAGTCTCTACTTGTGTAATTATCTAACTGTTAATTATTCTTTCAAAATTGTCTTTGCATTTATGCCGTGAATCGATTGTTGATTCTTGATATGCGAGCGATAAGCAGAAAGAACTTTCACCGTATCACCTTTTTTATTTTAATCCTTAAAACGCAGTGTACTTTAAGATTTTGTGCACTACAAATAGTATAAAATTGACAAGGCTGTGTTATTTTCTAAGTTTGTAAAACCAAAGATGCTCAATGGTAGGAATACCCTATATATGTTTTACTCATGATTTTATTCTTGCATTTTATGTAAAATATGCTATATTATATGTATTATATCTATACGTACTCTTATTATCTTATGAGGTAATGTATAATTACACATACACACACACACACATACACACCTCTAATTATATTACATTTTAAGATAGTATGTAATATATATATATACACATTGCGATTATTCTGGAGTCTGTAATAAAAAAGCGTTCAAGTCTCTTAAAACAAACGCAATTGTATATGAAATATTCATGACCATTTGTGTTCATGATTACATGTGAAATTTGCAATGTTTTATGTCATAAATTAAATGTTGCTAAATATAACTATATTAAATATTAGTAAATACATCTATACAAATATTTTGGGGATCAATATCTTTTAATATTATACAAATTTTTGCATATATTTATCATATATTAATGTCTAGTCTTTGATTTAGTTGCTTTCTGTGATCATAAAAATTTTTTATATTGTCCTTTTTGAACAAACTTTACATCATTACAAGATATCACATTATAATCATTATATAATTACATCATTATATACCAAATTATATTTATTGTTGACAAGTATGAAATTATGTTCTTATTCATGAGAAATTTAAAGAAATAATTAATAAATTATGTAGAGACAAATTGAAATAATTTTGCAAAATAGTCACAAAGCAACCTAGCATGAGAAGTAATGTAGAAATTTAAGAATAGAGTATTCACAATATTCATTGAGTACTTGTTAAAGATATAATTATATGTCAATGTCATAATACCGCAAATAACAATGAATAATGGATCGAGTTTAGCATGTATTTAATTTGATTACAATATATACTAGTATTTTTTCAACAAATGATACCAAGTATTCAATGACTACGAAACTCTAAATAACAATGTGTAAAATTGTTTTATATATGCGTATGTAAAACTTAACATAAAGCGACAATTTGGCAAAGAAATTATCAGTATTTATATGAAATGTAATGTTAGATGTACATATATATGTTTAAATCATAGCATAAAACAATTTAAACAAGAAATTATTAATTATTAAAGGAAAAGTTTAGAGAATGAAGATCTTGAAAACTTCATTTTATTAAAGTTTTGAACAAAAATATAACTTTTTGCTATAGAAGTTTGAATATCTGATAAACTGCATTTTAAATAAGAAAAATATGTTTGATAAAGGCTCTTTAATAATATAAAATATTTTTATGTTTCAATAATTTAAAGGACTTTCTCATTTAAATATTTATACTCTTTATTTGCTTAGATTACAAAAATATAAATACTGTTAACATTAAAATATGGAAACTAATATTGAAAGTAAAAGAAAAACTGATTTCAATTGTTACATTGTCAATATTTTTGTAATTTGTATGGTTGAATATTGTAATACTGCATCACAAGCTGTATTTGAAGAAGCTGGATTTAGTTACTGACGGATTAGATACTAAACATACAGGAGCCTAACAAAAGAATACAACTCATTTACCATAGATATCCTTTGACAAACTATACATTTGGAACAAAAGAGCCACTCTTCGAGAAAGATCCATCAGTACCAGCAAGGTTTCAGCGCATGAGAGATGAATTCGATAAAATTGGCATGCGGAGAAGCGTAGAAGGCGTCTTACTGGTACATGAGCATGGATTGCCACATGTTCTCCTTCTGCAACTCGGCACAACATTCTTCAAATTGTAAGTTTTAAATGCTAAAAAAATTATGTAGCGCATGCTTAAAAAATTACAGATATATACGAGTTATGTATAATTGATAACGTATAAATAAAAAAATGGATCTAAAATATTTTTTATTATATGTATAGAGGAAGAATATAATTCTCTATTTAGTACTTTCTTATTAGTTTTTTTTTAAATATATACTTTGTATAAATATCTGTAATGTGGTAATGTGATAAGACTAAATTTCACTTGTCTTTTTTTTCGTTGTTTTACAGACCTGGCGGAGAACTCAATACAGGAGAAGATGAGGTAGAGGGCCTAAAACGGCTCCTTACAGAGGTAACAGTTAGCACGACGCCTTACGCTGCCTTACAGGCTGGCTAGGAGTGGCACTTTGATATCGTTAGATCCTAACTTTGTCTTTATAGACATCATTATTGTACAAATCCAACATATGTTTGTAGAACTTATGTAACCGGGCCTGTAGCTCCGTATAGGGGCTTGCTCTTTTATTCTTATAATATTTTGTATTTTTTATGTGCTGCATGCCCGGACACTTCAATGTTCGTAATACATAAAGATACCGTTCTTTATTGTATCTGGTTGGCTAAGAACATTGTTCTTATTCTCATTATGTATGTGCTATAGAGAAACAAAAAAAAAAGTACGAAGAATGTAAAACAAGACAAGAACAGCGACAAGAAGATTGTAAATGTTACAAATATTTTAAATGTCACAACTTCTTTGAAATTTGTAAGATCAGTGAACAATTATGATATATATATATATATATATTGAATAGGACTTGGAAAAATATATCTGATCAGCACAATATATAATATTGCTTATACGGAATTCCATCTGCAATTGTTAAGCCACAAGGCAATTAATAAACTTGAGATTGATAATCTCTGCTCTTATTCTTTACTAGAACGACCAATGTACATACAATAATTTGTGTCGTTTGATTAGGTATCCATATAGGACACCAAAAGTGCTTTAGAAAATGTATATATGCTTTTGACAGATATTTATATTAGCTTCCGGTTTGGAATGTATTCTCATATGTTAAACATCGATCAACTTGAATATTGTTAGAATCGATATCAATAAATACCCGCTGTGTCTCGAGATACAATAAATATTGTGCAACCATGTTCTTAGTGGACTGACTGAAGAAGAATGTATTTTATCTTATAGTTTACACACACATTGGTGATCAATATAAGTATCAGACAACATACTGGATTTATTTTGTAGACTTTTGGACGACAGGATGGGGTGAAGCAAGAATGGGTCATAGAAGATACAATTGGCAATTGGTGGCGACCAAACTTTGAACCACCTCAGTATCCATATGTACCGCCACACATCACGAAACCGAAAGAACACAAAAGACTGTTTCTCGTACAGCTGCAAGAAAAAGGTATGCATTTAACTAACAAAGCTCATTAGTATGCGAGATAAATTACTCTCACTGTTTTATTATTTAATTAATTAATTAAATCATTTTGATGTTTAGCTCTATTTGCTGTACCGAAGAATTACAAATTAGTTGCCGCACCATTATTTGAATTGTACGATAATTCACAAGGTTACGGTCCCATAATTTCATCTTTGCCTCAGTCATTGTGCAGGTAACTTTCAAATTTGCTTTATATTGTGCATTACGATGAAACACATTTTGTTTTACAAAATTGCTATTATTTATGTTTCAGGTTTAACTTCATTTATATGTAAAATTAAAATTACGAAAACAAAAAATTGATACACTTTTTTTAATTTAATATAAATAAAATTTATTAAAAACATAATAGATGTATGTATGAGATGATGGATGACACTTGGAAAATTTCTGATGTTATGTATATTATGCATTGTGCATTAAATCATTTTTTAAGTAGAATTTATCTGGTTCATCTATAATCTCATTCCAACCTTTGTATTAAAGTAAGCTTTTATATTTTATTTCTATATTTGTGTGTGTGTTTATATATAATAATAGTCAATAGCAAAAGACATAATTTGCAATTTATTTGACTTATTTTGGAAATGTATGTATATTTTTGTTAGTTTAGTTCTAGATATGTAACTGAATTATATTAATTTTTTTCTTACAAAGTTAAAGTAATTGATACTATGTTGTATTAATAATTGATTCATTAAAATGAAATATGCAGACTAGATAAAAATTAAGGGACCATACAATGTATATTTTTCTGCTAAACCTTAAAAATATTTTCTAAAATTATAATATGAAATTGTAATAAAGTATGTCGATATTGATCATTTTTATCTTTTGTAATAAAATACCAAAGTCGAACGAACTAATCTTATTCATCTGATAATTGTGCTGTAGATTCTACCTAAATATCAATATATAATATAAAGATAATTTTAAGTATTGTTGATATCACTTTAAATCAAACTTAATTATATTTTAATCGCAATTCTAAGGCATTAAAAAATTGAAAAAAATAAATCGTTATTTTAGTTTTTATTCCAATATTTGAAAATTAAATGTTTACAAATTTTTTAACTTATAAAAAAAAGGTAATAATCAATTGTTACTTCTGTTCTGAAACACTTGTTTGGTTTATTACAATGCTTGCTTATTACAATTTTCTTATACGTAAATCACTTGTTTATAAGAAAAATTAAGTATCTCTTATATTAAACAATATTTATATCAATGTTATATTCAATCAATGAAATCGTTTTTATCAAAACAAAATATTCTATCAAGAATTCTGTTCCATTTCTTCTTGTCCCCTTAACTCTTTCTGTTATATAATACTATATTATGAAAAGTATTAATATCTTATCTCTTATCAATAATTATCAGTGATAAATATTTTTTATTAATATTTGTGTTACATCATTTTTTGTTACATAACATTTTGAGAAAACTATATTCCAGAATATGTAATAAAGTTTATTCTACTCTCTTAAGCTCTTATTCAAACATACAAATTGTAAAAAAATAAAAGGAACATATGTTATTAGATTTTTTGTTTGTTACATAGGAATTCAAATATGATGCGTTCTTCCATCCCGTTTGTATTTATTTTTGCATCCTGGCAGTTTTAATAGTATATAGTTCTAGTTTTGTGGAATGGTATGCATTCCAATTCCTGAGCATATTCTCGCCGGTAATCCCATAAGAAATGATCGATTACGATTGCGTTGACGACTGTCGGACTTAAACCCAGCTTGGGATCCGCTTTGATCAGTCGTTGCACTTCGTCGCATATCTGCTCAACAGCTTCGATCGAGCAAGCACGTATCTCGACTTCCTCTCTGCTGCCTTGCTTCAACGGCTCGTCAGACTTGAGCTTGCTCATGAGCGAGTTGCTGTAGCGCATTGCGCTAAAATATACAAGTACTTGAGGGATCCGATAATCGGCGAACATTGTGAGACTCTCGATATCATGAAATTCACCGAGTTCTTGCCCTTTGAAACAAGCCCATATGTCGCCTATCAATATCTGAACTCGCTTGTAGATGCTGATTCTGTGCCCTTCATAGTCGGCCTCATCTCGGTACGATTCGAATTCGTCGACGATAAGTTTAAGCAATTTTTTTGCGGAGCCGTCACATGATTTGATACATTCTGCGAACGTACCTTGATACTTATCCAACAAAATTTTTCCCGCCTGTTGCAGATTCTTAACTCTATCCTCTATAAGCGGAATGGTGGTTTCGTCGTCACCTCGAAAAATGATCTCAGCTTCTTTCTGCGTTATCTGTGAGTAATATTTAGGATCCCACATCGGTTTCTCTTCGTCGATTGCCCGTTGAACAGCGGCGCAAAACGCAAAATATCCGGTCTCGCCGTTAACTTTCCATTTGTTAGCTCCTGTGTCAGTCCAGAACGAAAAATTTAATGTATCTAGCACAAATATCCAGTCGGCCGCTCTGGGATCATCAGGTTTGGGATGAAATTTCACTTGAGCAAAATTGCCGGTGTGTATCTTGCGCGTTTTGATGGCATCAAGGACCGCCAACGCCAGTTCTTTTATACCTTTATTTTCAATAAATACATCCTTCGCCAATTTTGTGACTAACTTTGCGGATTCCTTCGGTAACAAAACCATATTAACATAAACGTTGCCGGCTGGTCAACTACTAATGATTGTGGTCAACTGTCTTCTATCATACGTCCTACCTTAAATTATTACGAATCGTTTGTAACGAATAATCGCAAGAGTCGTAAAGCCGGTATTAAGGCTCTTGCACATAGGACGCGGTAACACTTGCCGCGCGGCAAAAAGCGACGCCAATCAGTTTTTCGCTCTTATAGAAAAATTGTAAGTTGTAAGTTGATTGGTTATCGCGTCGTCTTTTGCCGCGCGGCAAGCGTTAGGGCCTATCCAGACAAACTTACATAGTCGCATAAACATATACATAAGGAAATTGATTGGTTTATAAACAAATATATAAGGAAATGGACCAATCAATTTCTTTATGCATATGTTATGCGACTATGCAAGTTTGTCTGGATAGGCTCTTACCGCATTCTGTGTGCAAGAGGCCTTGAACAGTTTATAAACAGTTTCAGGTCAACGCAAGGGGTAAGGCCGCACAGTAAAGCCGAGAGCACAAGCTTTTACATAAAGCATAACGCATAAGCATAAGGAAATCGTAATAACTTCGTAT